CCAGAGTACTTCCATCAAGTGTAATTTGGTTTGTGTTCTCTGTGTTGTATTTAAAGATCTAGCTTTTCCCTTGTGCATATTGAAGCCTACTGATACAGAGACTGCTGATACACTGTTTGCACCGACCTGCATTTGTTGATATGTATGGGATAGAAAGGTCAGGTCATCTGCGAAGTTCAAATCGTTTAGTGGCATACAACTCGTCCATTCTATTCCGTGCTCCCACTCAGATGTACAGGTCTTCATAACCCAATCAATCACCAGGTGAAAGAGGAAGCGACACACTAAGCACACTTGTCTGACTCCGGTTCTCACTTACAATACATTAGTCAGCTGTCCTCCATGCACGACTTCGCAGTGTAGTCTATCGTATGAATTCCGTATGATATTGACGATTTTCTCAGTTACATCATTGTATCGAGGAAGTTACCATATTGTTCTCCTATCCACACTGTCAAATGCTTTCTCACAATCAACGAACTTGATGTACAGTGTTGAGTTCCATTCAACCGATAATTCAACGATGATCCATAATGTCGCAATTTGGTCTGTGCATTGCCGATCTCTACAAAATTCCTCTCGTTTATCTCGAAGTTGGACTACTACTGTGTTTTTCATTTGGTTCAACAACACTCTGTTGAAAACCGTTTCTGTTACTGACAGTAATGTGATGTCTCCGTAGTTCTCACATTTCATCAGACCTCCTTTCTTTGGTATCTCGATCAGTTTCCCTTCTTTCCAATCTGTCGGCGACACTTGTTCTTCCTCTCAAATCTTCCTCAATAGAACGTGGATCATGTTTGCAGTTACTTCTATGTCTGACATCAGTTGTTCAACTGGTATAATGTCAGGTCGTGTTGCTTTTCCACTCTAGATTTGTGTGACTTGTGTGATGACCATCCGTTGTCGGTGGAGTGACATCTATCGGAATGTCTGTAGGTGCTGCTTCGATAACTCGTGCATTCAATGGAGGTGGTCAATTCAAAACTTCCTCGAAGTGTTCTGCACATCTGTCCCACCGTCCTTGAATTTCATTGATTTTCTTACCTTCTTTCTGCTTGACCGTTCTCTCTAGTTTCCTTTATTTTCCTGCTGGTTTCTTCGTTATTTCACATAAATTTGTCATGTTTCCTTCTCTTGTAGCTTTTTACACTGTCATTACTAGCTCTTCCACATATTTGTGCTTTTAGGCTCTAATGCTCCTCCTCACTAGCTTGCTTACTTCTGTGTACTCAGCTTATGCCTTAATTTTCTCTGTTCTTGTTCGACTGTTGTTAATTTTTATCTTCTCGTTCTTCCTATCTTGAATCTTGTCTAAGGTTTTTATAGAGATATATTCGTTATGATGATGCTTTTTGCGGCCCAGAACCTTCTGACGCATTGAAGTTAGCGCTTTGAAGGAATGGAGTTGCCAACCGCTCCCTCTTCTTTATCTGTGCTTGGGACCGGCAGTGGTCCCAGAAGAGCTAAACGCGGAGTTATTCAAATGGGTAACTATGTCATTGAAAAGAATTAAAGTATTTCCTATGTTCAGACACTTCTTGTGCCTAATTTACTGGTTTTTTTATTCATAAAAATACGTCACCGCGGCTTGTGTGATTCATTTTTCCTTTAAAAAATTAGTAACAGTATAATTTGCTTTAAATCAACACTGATATTCACATAATTAGTGTTAAGAAATCCAATCCTTGTCATGTTTGTTCCTATTTACTTTCAGTTTTTTATATCTAATCTTCTTAACTCATAATATAAAATTTTGTCTTTAGCGTAAGTTTTCAGAGAAATTACAGTTTTTCTCCTTAAAAAAGTTTCATCAAACAACTGATAGACAGGCAAACATATACATATGTGTCCTGGTACGGCCGAGAGTGAGGGGAGTCCTCTCTCCATCTCGAAATGCTCTCACATGACCACGCGTATATGACCTCTGCCAGGGAAGTCCTACTCACTGCCTTCTCGTGGCTGGGGAGTTGTTTACGAGATTGAGAGGACGAAAAGCAAACGTCCAGCGCTTTAACCGGGCTGATGGATATGGAGAGTCCACCTAGGGGAGTTGGAAAACCCTGATTCAAAAGCAATGGTGCACATGGGCTGGCTCCAGTATTCTGAAGGAACAAATGTTGTATGAACCAATCGTTGGTCATCAGCTACCATGGGACTGCATCTTCTTACGTTGCTCCACTACCTTGTGGATCAGACGTTTGGGCCGAACGCTCCGGGTGTGGCCTCCTAAGAAAACCGTCCGCTTCGGTTTGGGGGCCCAGGCAGTATCACAGCCCTCTCATATATCAAATGAGTTTTGTGTGGTGCATATGTATTTGGTGTCTCCTTGTACCAATATCTATGTGTTAAAATAAAAGAAATAAATAAAATATCATTTTCTTCATATCAGGAGCTAACGTATAAACTCACACTTTAATCTTGTGTTACTGATAACAATTTACAATTTATTACTATCTGATATCTGTTTATTGATAGTAACATTAGTTCTTACAGTTCAGATGGATTAACCAGTTACATTTAAGTTTAATTTCATCTAAAAAACCAGTCTCTCGATATTGTCATAATTTAAAACAAATGTTTTTGCATTTTTTGGTTGCATGAAATCTGTCTCCTCAGCATTGTTCGTGAATTTATACGATTATTGTATACTGAACGCAAGATCAATAATATTTTTTTCTCAAAATATTCAAATATATTACTCTAATAGTGTCAGTTATAACTGTTACCGAATTGATACTAACCTCTTGCGTTGTAACCATTTGGTTGTCATGCCAACCTGAACATAATTACGTTCAAAATAAAAGCATAACTCCTCACATTTTCATTGTCACATATGTGAGTAAACAATTCAAATAAGAAGAATAAGTCAATAATGTTCTATATATTGTAGGTTTACGCAATAAATTATAATGTGATATTAGAAAATCTTAAGGAAATTCTTTTTTATTAGTTAAATTATTTATCGCTTATCACAAGATATAATAATTACGAAAGTTGATATTAGTATATTAACTTTACTGAGATAATTGAACAGAGTACTTAGTTGATCTTTATCAATCAACCATAAGAAGTTTATCACATTTACCATAGTTTTAATACAGATTACTAAAGCTACAAATTAGTTTTAAAGTGAATATTACGTTAACAATAAAATTACATTATATGCGCACTGCTGAGAAGTCCTATACTAGGATGAAACGGCCGTCCGGTGCTTCCAGGTTTTTCATGGTGGTCTAGCTTTAATTGACTCATCATTTCGATCAAAAACTTAACAATCTCCACAACACCTAAACTGAGAATATTAGGAATTATTGCCCTATCACCAATTAATAACAGTGAAATGGAATTATATTAAACTAACCATTTGTAAATAATGTCAATCAATACTAGGAGATAAAAAAAGGAAACAGTGTATCAATGATATGATTGATAAGTAATGTTAGATACACAATTATTTTCCAACTGTATATAGTTACAAATCTCATTTGAAATTTATAAAACAAAAAATAGGTGAATACATCGAGAAATAGAACGTAATTGGATTAATTACTTGATATTCTGTTGGTAAAATAAATGTTCACATATTATCAACATTAGTAGAGAGAATTCTCTGGAAACACTACAATTTGAGATGGTGGAGAAGATTTGTAGCTCAGGTGGATGATTTTGGTGGAGTTTTGTACTCTGAGCTGGATGGTTTGGTCGTGGAGCTTTCATTGTTCTTCTGAACATCATCAGCACAAACTTCAGATCTGAAGTTTGTGTTCCACCAAAAAAATACTACCATTTTTTAAAAAAATTATTGATTTAACAATTCTGTTTTCCAATGTTCACTGGACCATTACACTATAGGAAAACATTAAGAAGATACAATGATTTTACGATTTAAACATGAAAATTTCCATTTTAACGATAAGGAATTAGTTATGAAAAATAAGTTTCAACAAACTATTAGTTCAGAATAAGTAATTTATTGAAATGATAGAAAATAAGTAGTGAAATATACCTTATATAAATACAAAAGTAAAAATGATAAAAACACATCCTACTTAGAGTGTGTGTACTCTTCTAGTAAAGAACTTTCATTATCTTTGATGTTACATAGAATATATCTGTTACAAATTGATAAGCTTTCAGCAATTGATTTTTCCAAGTTTACTTGTCAATGCACCTTACTATTTAAATTTATCATGAAATTATAAATAACTCATTGTTTTATGAATAGAGTGAGTAAAGAACATATAAAGATTTTACATGAAAATTATAAACTAAACAAAAATGCCTTTTTGTTATTTTACTTGTGTCTTCTCATTGTTATTTGGGACTGCTGACGAGTACAAAATAGGACGAAACGCGCGTACTAGATTTCACTGCTAGCCACTATCCATTTTTCCTTAAAAATGAATTGTGCTTAAATTTGTGAATAAATTCGTTTTTTGTTTGTCTCGACGTTTAATTGGTCAGTTAATTGACCAATCAAAACGAAATAATAAAAAATAATAATTTCTTTAATCAAGATATCAGGCAAATAAACTTCGCAAATAATCTAATAAAATCATTTAAAATTTATGAATAACAAAGTATTACTTTGACTTCCCAGTAGAAAAAAATTATGATTAATTCCATCTCTTAGAATATGATGTACCTGGATCGTATTTCACCTTTAATAATGATAGGCTTGATTAACTGGAACCTAGTTTTATCGGAATTCATAGAATATGGATCTAATACTATGAATAAGGATACAGAAAAAGTTTTAAATTTTGTTATTTCTAAGAAGCAATCTGAATTACTAGAAAATTCAAAATCTTCATCAGCATCAATACATACACAGGATACTTCAAATGAATATATGTTAAGTGATCATCCATTATCTGTAATTAACTTTAATAAGCATCAAAAATTTTCGTATCTAAATGATATGCAACCAGAAAATGTTGATAATTCAAAACATCCATTATTATCTGATCCATTGTTTGATCCTTCAATTCTTACAGATACTGCTGCTCGTGTAATTCAATCCAACCGTTGTACGACAGAAGAACGCCAAAAACGAATACAATGTTTCGAGGTACTACCTGCGGAACAGTATGCTATACCATTAGGACATACTGTGAATATGCAATGTGTTGTTTTAAATCAGCATGGAAAAGTTCAATGGCGTGCGAAAAAAATACTTCTCGGTATGTTATACTTTTAATTCTAATTAAAACAAGTATACATAATCATTTCTTCATTGATACAAAACATTATTTTTAAAATTGTGTACTTATCAATTTGCTAATTAAATATTTGTGTCTTGAGACAGCGGTTTAAATGCATGTTGACATTGTGAGTGATGTGAGTATCTAACCTTATAAAAATCCATATCTACTCTTTAGTTTTGCGGCTAAAACGATTAGAAATGTATAAACTGTTAACTAAAAGGATGGAGTACAACCGTGTCTGGCGTAGGGCAGCTACTCACTGAAGACAATGGGAGACGGTCGCGTAATATCATGCATTGATTGGACTTAGACATTCACACTATTGAATACCGGCCCAGTTGTCTAGAGGTCAAGTGTTTGCGCGCAAGACCGAAGATTCCGGTTTTGAACACCACCAGTGGGATCATGGATGTGCAATGCTGAGTCTCATGCTAGGACGAAATGGCCATTCAGTGCTTTCAGGTTTTCAATGGTGGTCTGACATTGATTCATTCGTGATCTCAATTTAAAACAATTTTGTCAAATTCTTAAATACACCAGTAGTATTGTATTAAAATATTACAATAACATTATTACATACTATGATACTATAATAGGTGTTAAGTTCTCAATAAATGTAATCAACCGTAAAGCAGTAATGAACTAGTATTACAAAACAATTATTACTGATTCCAAAATGGTTCATGATTTTTTTAATAGTGAGCTTGAAGAAAGAGTACTTAGTATATTAAATAATACTTAATCTATTTTTTGAGGTGTATATTCCTTGCATATTGAGTTCTCTCAACTCAATATAAATTATATATACGTTTATATGCATACATAATATAATTGGTTACAAATTCAGGTGATTGATTTTGATTAATTTGTGAGTTCTAATCTGGATTAATCTGTTATAATGTTTTGTTGTTGTGGGAATTTCAAATTATCCTCAAAAAACTTGGTTAATACTTTTCTTATTGCTTAATAATCAATTGATTTTTCTTGTTTTTTAATGTATGAATGAAGTTACTAAGTAAATTATATTCAGAAAAATTAAATATTCAAGAAATATGTTAAGTAGTTAATGTAGTTAATGATCTGAAATGTATATCCAAAAAGGAATAATGTAAAAAAATGGTTGTTAATTTACATTATATGATGATCGTAATATAGAAACCTTGAGAAACTATTGAAAAAAACTAAGGGTTGCAAAACAATTATTTTGTTCCATTTCAAATGTTTGCAATATTATCAACTCCTAATAATTGATTTGAGTTTAAATATCCACTGATTCTTAAAATTTTGTCGGCCCTGATTAAAATAAAGCCAGTTCTGCTTTAGCATAAAAGAGGTTTATATTTATGCTTAGATAATTGTCTATTATATATATATATATATATATATAACTGCATCTAGTAGTTGCTTTTCAAGAATAGAAACAATTGAGTATCCCCTGAAAACGAAATGCTGATTGATACCGGTTGAAAAATTGACGAAAAGTAGGGTTTATTCAATAGATATTTGATCCTAATTTACAACATCGCTGGAGCGTAAAATCGATACTCCACAGACTATGAAACGAAACCGTTTAGAAAACCACCCTTTTTCATTGATATACTGATATTTTTCAGTAAAGCTTATTTGCATTATTTGGCATAAAACGTTACGATTAAAAACCTTTCCCATGTTTGTATAACCTAAGACAAACATTAACCACTTCTATGGAGAACAATGCTTTCAAACACCTAAGTGTTCATAATTTAAAAAGTCGTCTTTTTAATACCAACTCTTTATAATAACCAATTACTTCATGAACTCTGAATACTCAGTACATGTATGTAAATATACATATTTACCCGAAACATAGAAATAATACAGCTTGATTGTTATGGGTATTAAAACCTTACGACCGAACAAAATATATAGAAATCCTGTGACTATATCCATATGTATTTTCACATAGATATCATCTTATCAACTAATTTAATATGAGTAATTATTCCTTAGAAGAAAAATGATAAATTAACAAGAGTCCATACAATGCCTGACCATGTATATTTAATTCAGCTTAAAAATACAACAAATTTAAGTTAAGAATTAAAATTGTTCATGGATGTCTCAGTGGTTCAAGAAAAAAAAATTTAACTTCCTTATATTTGATTTTTATGTTTTGATCCATCTAATCAATAATTGATTTCAACTTATTTTTATCAGAAAACCTGACGACAGTTCACTCTTTATTCCATATGGTATCTTAGCTACAATTCTGAAAATAGTTCTAAAGCCAATACAAGAAATAAATAAAAAGTTCTTATCAAAGTCCTATCGTTTCTAAGCTAACGTCATTGTATTGAGAAAAACTATTGTTGATTGTGATTTTGTTTTCTCATATAACTAGATTATTCACTTTAAGATATTTGTAGGTACAGTATGACCACAGGATCAAATCTATTGTTTGAATTGTATGAAACAACAGTTCATATTTGAATTTACTTGTGGTAATCGATTATGTCTTGGCAAGGGTAAATCAAATGATCATTCGATAAATTAAAATTATAATAGAAATAACTAATACTAAATATGGTTTTTGTTATATCTCAATGAGTAGAAAAACTGTATTTCTGACGTTTCGTGACCTAATATAGACCACTTTTTCAGAGTAAGTAAATAACCCAATGCTCAATTTATTTAAAACTATGAAGTCCAACCATAGCATTGATACTTACGTAATAGAAATTAATTGTCTACCAACTAGTTACGTCTTTGTATTGACTTTGTTTGTGTAAAAAATGAAATGAACATCAAGATATTGCTTTCATAATTTATTTTCCTCACTCTTTCATTCAATTGAATACTTTCAAAAAATCAATAACTAGTAAAGAGATCAATGAAATGATATCACTGTTACATTCCTACCTTACCCATACTGCATATATCCTAGTTTAAACCTAATGAATAATCATCTATATGAATAGCTAAATTTATTTATTACTGTAAAAACAATTGAAGTTCTATATTTTCTAAAGAAAACACTTTTTGTCTCATTAATAAAACTTTCTAGATAACAATAAGTAACCAAATTCATTATCGTTTTATATTTTCATCAATTTCTCGGTTTAATTAAAGATGATTTTTCGGTAGACTACTGATAATTATTATTCAAATGAGAATTTATTATATTTAAAAATGAATACCTTAATTATTGAATATTGAAAACTGATTAAATTGGTTATTCATTTAGATTTCATTGTAAATGAATACATGAACAATTTATTTACCAAATGATTATAGTTTTTGAATATATTTGATCTACTTGTTAATATTGAATAGAGTGTGAACAATAAAGTTGACAGAATAAAATGATTTTCCCATATTTTGATGCCCTATATTAGTTATAAACAATCTATTGTTATAAAAAAATAATCTGATTAGAAATAGAGATATTGTAGTGAACAAGAACACGAGTGAGGGACAATTGAATGTTTCTGAACACGAAATTACAGAACATCTCACTAAAATCTGAGAACAATACAGTAAATATTTAGTTTTTCAATATATCAATGAATTGTCTCCAACTTGACTGTTCCTTTCACAAATATCAGTCCATCGTCTCAGATTTCATTGTTCCTGAATTCTCATACGAATCGCATTCCATTTTCGTTCTTTCCTTCTCGATCTTCTACTGAAATACATTCTATGCCTGACTATCATTATACACTACTTATGTGGATATAAGTAGCTCACTATATGACGTACTTCATGAATTTATGATGAATATTCGAATACGTGATAATTAATTAACAAGACAGAAAAGAAAAACAGTAGAACAAGATATTAATCGTGCTACTTATTTGTTGAAAATTGTCTTATGAAATGTAAACGCAATGACAAAACAATTACTAGTTTTCTTAATAAAAAAATATATAGTTCTTTAATCACCATAAGAAATGAAAATCAGTATACAAGAAAAAGAAAGATCATTCAACTTGGATTACCCTCTTTTTTGTAAACATAGAGTGGCTTAGAAATGCTTGGTAACGACAGATTGAGCAATGCTAAGCCATAACATTTGTCCATTGTTAAGTACTTAAACATTCTTCTTCTCAAGACGGTTAGAGTCAAGAAGTTTATAATGTTAAAAGTATCTTATTATATATGAGAAATCGGTGTATTTCTCTTGACAAAAATGCAACAATCCACTAGGTATTTTATTCCATAACCTTATAAACTATATTCACGTTACCGAATTATAATAAATTAACAAATAACGTTTGGTTTCAAATTCTCGACATCGTTTTGTTAGAAAAATTTGATAAATAAGTTTGTTGTGTTTATTGTTTTAAGCAAAGTTAACCCCAGAATTTCGATATAATTTCACGATAATTGTTTTGCACATACGTTTTGATGTATGCTCTTTCTAGCTTAAAATGCAGCTTAAAATTAAGTGTCAGAAAATCAATTTCATAGATTTTGGCAATTCAAAGACATATTCTGTGCACAAACGTGAACATCTTACTTTCATAGAACTTAGACTGACAATATTCAAACATTTCATTGACATCCAGTAATTTATGTTTTACATGTTTGTTAAAGGATCATACTAATGATTATTATAATATACAATGTTTTATATCATGCAATAAAATCATTCTCAGCAATAAATGCTGGTCACTTTAAATAATCTAGTATCATTATTTGCCAAAACTAATACATAATTAATACATGAACGTTTATATAAGAATTGATTAAGTACGTAAAAATGTTAGATTGGACATATGGCTTTAAACATTCAAAGACAATGTCATCCAGATGACGATAAACTGATCATGGAACTTTCGTGATTAAATCTATCAACAAAATATAACACAATAGGTTATCTGATAGATAATAAATGAGAAACTCGAAACATAGAATACATAAAATGCCTAAATAAATTAGTTTGAATTAGAAAGATAAGAAGAAAACTATACGAATAATTTTCATTGAATTAAACT